CACGTGGAGAAGTCTATTGATAAGCTGATTGATGCTGAACTGAAAGAACTCGGTGACAAGAGTAAGGTAAGCTATTATCTATGAGTACAAATGAGAGGAGTTCTCACAACAAATTTTGTAGTCTATATTTTAATCTATTTGCGGATCATAAGAGTCTAAACTATTACTTTCTTTTTTTCAACAGAGACGGTTTATGAAGTTAGATCCGGGTTGCAACGGTCTGGTCTTCATCCAAATGAAAAGGAGAGATGGTGACCCAAGTCCGAAAGAAATTGTACAGCATGCAATGACTTCTGCTGCTGCAACAAAAAAGCATATGTCAAGGTTTGATCTTACACACAAAAACTCCATCATCCCAAGAATTCTATTACTATGATGTCTTTGTCTGGTTTTTGCTAATATATATTGTGACATTTAGGTTCATCCTAAGACTTGTACCAATTGAAGCATCGTGTTATCCTTCAGAGGAAGAAATTTCAAGAGCCATAAAGCCTCTTGTAGAACAGTATTTCCCCATTGAGACCGATAACCCCCGGAAAGTAATAATAATATTAGAGTCTTTTTGCGTATTCATTTCCTAGATTCCAAAATGTTTACCTTTCTTTTACTTCTATTGCAGTTTGCTGTGTTGTATGCAGCGCGAGCAAACACGGGGCTTGATAGGATGAAGATAATAAATACGGTGGCGAAATCTATTCCTGCCCCTCACAAAGTTGATTTGAGCAATCCGGAGATGTCGATCGTGGTGGAAATTGTTAAGGTGAACAAGGATAAACTTTGATGTTTGAATTTTTGCATTAACAGATTGGTTGGTTATAAACTCAAACCGGGTTTTTTTGTGTTGCAATATACAGACAGTGTGCTTAATTGGGGTGGTAGAGAAGTACAAGGAGCTGGCAAAGTACAACCTCAAGCAGCTTACCTCCACCTAGTGACACAATCGAGGAGATTCTTCTATCTTTAACAATGTTGTGTTTCTTAAGACTAAAAATGCTTTGTGTTTACAACACAGTTTCTGGTTAACTTATTAAAAGGGTAATTGGTCTTTAGATCATATTTTGTGTCTGATGAATGAAAGTTTTCTGTGATGAAGTTTTGTCCACCTTCGACCATAAAACATGTCGGTACAATGCAATAACATATTTTTGATTTTGCTGAATGGTGCCAAAACAAGAAACAAACAAAATGGTTCAAGGAAATGGATTTGATTTGTTTTGACCTGGTGACTTTAGGTTCATGAAGTAAAATGGGAGATTATGAGTTTGGTCAACTATTCAATGATGTGCATTGGCCTAATTTACACACACAATATCATCTCATGTTTTGCTTATATAGATATAAAATTTTTTTAACAAATAGATGTTGAGAAGAAGAAAATAAAGTTAAGAGAAGTTGAGGAAACTTGCATAGCTTCTAGCACGAAAACTCTTTAAGAGTTATTTTCATGCCATTCCTAGCTACCTAATGATCTCAAACACATTACATATACAAAAGAGAGAAGCAATTGGTCAATACTCAAAGGGTATATGATTATTAGCTAAGCATGATTATTAGCTAAGAGAAGAACCAACATTGGATCCACCATTGGTGCACTAATGAGAGCACAAGTAATTGCCTTTGTGATGAAGAGAGAAGAGTAAAAAATTACTATTAGGGAAGCCAACACACAATTACCAATAAATTTTGATAGAAAAATGGATTCAGCATTTTTTTTTTTACATACTTTCACTAATTTACCGACTCCCTCCATTTTGAAAAGCAAAATAAAAATGATGTTATGAATCAACTCTGGTTCATAAATCCCCTTTTTCTTTCCCTCTAAGCCTAAGTCAAACCACTTCACCCTACTCATCCAAATTAGCAGTCCCAACAAGCCAAACTAACTTCATACCTCTCTACCAAACTGTTTCCTCTGCTTCTGCTTCCCCTTGCTTCTCTACTCGTATTCTTCTCCCATAATTTATAGACATCTCGAAATTTACATCTTCTTGTTCCAGCTTGATCCCCACACGCCTCCGAATAATACTTATCAGCCTTTGACAAATTCACAGCGTTGGGTGCAATAGGGGATGTAGAAGATCACATATGTGGGCAGATGGGAGAAGCTTGTTTCCTACAGAGATGGCACCGGAATCCAATCACCATACTTGAATTCTCCTCATTAAGACCATATGCATCTCCATGGTACCATTCTACAAACATTACAAAAAAAAAAAAAGCTGAGTAACGAAAAGAAACCAACTCTTGCAATGTGAACCAAAAGAAGATTAGAAAATGGATTACCTCCACAGATTTCGCAAGCAATGAATGTTGATCCAGCTTCAGTCGAGCTGCATAAATGACACTTAGGTTGATCATGGTCAGGCTCAGAGTTCTTCAATAAAATATAATATCTATCTTTCTGGAACTTCTTGACCCGTTCATCACCAGGCTTTCTGGATAACAGGAGGCCCTTCAACCAATAGCTAAAACACCTTTCTGATCTCTCCTTCTTAATGGAAATCTCTTGTTTTACTTTCTTAGGCCTGCCTCTGCCTCTTTTGGTTTCCAGTTTCCGTTTCTTACTCTCTGCAGGTACTTTACTTTCATCTTGTAGCCGAATAACATGCTTTGTTTGCCTGCCTGAACGTCGCAATGGTTTGCTTGCAACAACCTTCTTATGATTCTTTGACCTTATGGAAATTCTCTCTGCCAGTGAAGTTTTAGTCTTCTTTAGCCGAGTTGATTTGCGGGCAGGTATGACCATTTTGTGCTTCTGTGTCTGAAGACTCTGAACTCCAATTTTTTTACGGAAACTCCCCGGGGGCCGCCCTCTTTTCCGTTTGATGGGTATTTCTTTCGCTACCACTTCACTTCTGCATTCATGACAGATGTACATGCCTTCTTTCTCCGCCCTCCTGATATGCTTTTTGTGAAATGATCCTGAAATTTTTATCATAGCTGATATCAATACAAAACTATGACCAAATTATTTTCTATGAAATATCATGTTAGGAGTCTCCTCTTGGTTAGGAATGAGTCTAACTAGTGCTTACAATTCTATGGGCACCCTAACTCAAGTTACCTTTTCGAGTAAACATTCATTGTCTAAAGGGGATTACATTGCTTAGTGAACTAGATTGTCTTTGCGATCATCAGGTTGAACCTGCTGTACCGCAGGTTAATCAGTTTTTCAAGTTTGCAATAAGTTATTCATATTTTGTTAACCAAAGAATCACTGAACCAGTGACAAAAGCTATGGACTGGATTTTCTTCCAGGTCGGATCAGGCAGGTTGGGTACAGGAACATTGGTTCCACCTGTAGGACTTGTGGAGTAGGGTTTGTGTCAAGTATGGGCTAGGTTCTTATCAGATTTAGCAAAAAAAAAATACTTAAAACAAAAATAACAAGAAAAGAGACTCACTTTTGCAGATGTGGCAGCAGGCAGCTTCACTGTAATCGAAGAAAAACAGATACCATAAAAAACAGTTAAGAAAGCTTATGACTCAACAAACAAAAATAAAACGAGAATATATGTTCTGTAGGTCAAAACGTCAAATTGCATGCTATTAGGTTCTAAGCAGAGTCCATGTGACTTCAGCTTAGTCAAGATAGGATTGCTACTCTGTCAAGACAAGGACTTCTAGAAGGAAAAAGGGTTGTGCAAAGTACATACCTCAAAGGCACATCTTTCTTACATTGCTCGCACACAGAGGATTCAGATCTTTCTGCCCTTTCAAATAGGTATGAGAATCCTTTTCCCTCTGAAGACCTTTTCCGTACTTTGTCTATCTCAGAATGTCTGAAAGAGCCTACTGGCTTACTAATTTTTCGGACAGCTTTTTTCTCTTCAAATCCTTTCAGAAGATGTAAAGGCACATGTGATTCGTTCAACCAGAATTTTTTTCTTCCGCTCGAGGATTCTTCAACCATGCAACCATTCTTCAATACAACATCTGGAATATTTCTCCTCTTACCAAAGTCAAGGAGATATTTCACAGTCTCTTCCTCTGTGCACTTCCTACGGACAATCGCTTTTTTGAATAGCCTGGCAGATTTTTTGGATTCTTTGTCCGTTGCAGGAAGAAGATGACTGTTTTCAATATCATCCCACATTATGTAAGAGTGGAGTGTCCTCACCTGTAATCACTGAATTGTTTAGCTAAAATCGTCCAAGGCTGAGAAGCATGAGAAGTGGTACAAGACATATAATCAGTGTACAAAAACTACATATGCGAGTAAGAATTCCCGTAAAAGTAACCATGTGGATGACACGCTCAAAACATTAAACTAGTTCACCGAAATTTGAAAATTGGAGTAGAAAAAAGACACTTAAAGGAAACTTCAACATTGGTATTTCTTATTGATACCAGCGAGACAAATTAAATTTCGTTTTGACCAAGCTTATAATACCTGCAAACCAAGCTGCTCTGAAGTCATAGATGACTCAACAGCTGCTTCCCAGGCAATGCGTCGGCTTCTCTTAGCCGGATCTGAATTCTCAGGATACAGTATTCCTGGAATATTCATACTTCCACCTGCATAGCGTAGAGTGCATGGTGAATGAAACAACTAAATGGAAGTGAGAGGATAAAAAAAAAAAAATTTAAGACAGTAGAGCAACAAGAGTAAAAGCAAGACCAAAAGAGAAAATGTAAACCTTGTCTAGCAGCCTTCGAGATCAAAGAGCGAGGTAAAACCTTCCAGTTGAATAACCGCCGTGAAACTCGGCCGCCTCTCCACCAGCACATGGTCAATCCACCATTTTTCTTTGCAGTAGGGTTAGCCCCAGACTCCAGCAGTGTCCCCCTTCTTTTACCAATAGCAGTTTTTGACCATGATCGTGACGAAGCAATGAGAACATGAATAGCTGAGCCCATTACTACGGCAGAATCAACATGGTTTAGCCACTCCAGTGAAAGTACACGATGATGCAAATTTGCCTCTAACTGTGTAAAGGTAATAAACAAAATCTTTCAGTAGAAAACGAAAAACTGATAGATTAATCACTAATGCACTACACAACATTGCAAGTGCTCAAAAAATAGATTAATCACTAATGCACTACACAACATTGCAAGTGCTCAAGAAATCCTACTTAAAAGACTTGCGAAGATAGTTAAGTGTTAAGTAAATGGAGAAGTAGCAAAACATTCAACATTCCTGGCCACACTAAAAAAAAGGTGATTAGAAATTGATTACTGCAAACTTTTCAAGTAAAAAAAAAACAAACCAAAACTAAAATTCCACATAGCAGTGGACTGTAATGAAGAAATTTAAATATGACAGCTTCGGCATGGGCAAGTTAGTGTGGTGGTTCAGAGTTATGATCTTTTCGTGCCAATATTTGACTTACAAACAGTACCATATCACCACTAACCATGCAAAATGAATGTTTTAGGAGGAAGAAACTTGAGAAAAACTTACCTCAACTAATAAACGTTTCAAGCTTGAGATATTTGATGCGCTCAGAATGTGTTCACGCCAAATCCTGGAGTGCTGTGGATTCAACCATGGACCAACCAAAAGACCTTGCAGTCGACTTTCCATGGATAATATCTGGCATATGATAGCAAACAGATGACTTGTCTTATCAACGAACCGACTGTTGGCAACTTGACTTTCCGAAGGACCCTGTAAAGCCCCAAGACTCATGTTAAACAAACAATTTGTCTCATTCCCAACGTCATCATCAGAACTTTTGCAAGAATGACACCATCCACACTTTTCTTTCCATACATCTAGGTAGAGGCTTTGGATGTTTCGCCATTGAAATTTGGTGGTTTGCATCAATATAGTCTTCACCTGGGTAGAAGCTATCTCTTCATCAGATCTCATATCATTGGTACGGATTAGTGACTTACACATCATCTCTTGATAAATTGATGTAGTCATCTGAGCAAATATGTAATGGTTTCTGTAGCCTGTTTCGCTCTGCACATTCGGTCTGATTCCTTTCCTTGTGTTCAATCTAGCCAAATTATGGGAAGACGAATTCGAATTTGGCTCTTTCATGATATCCAAAATGCTTGATGGTGCTGTCTTATGAAGACCCTGGACATCCAAACCATTTTGTACAGTTTCAGCAGATCCTTCAGAACTCATATTAAGGGTATTTCGCCCAGTAGCTGAATCTGATATCATCCGTCGAGTCCTAGGACGACGATTATGTGAACCTCCATTGCTGGATTTTTTAACATCAGATGTTGACTGTTTTTCGGGAACTGGTAGAGGAGCCTTAAACCCATCAATAGAAGGAATGATTCCTTCGGCTGGCTTAGCCAAGCATACAGACATTTGGGAATTTACACCGCTGACTGTTCTCTCCAGCCCAACAGGGATATCCAAGTGTTTCTTAATTGCACTTATTACGCCACTATAGAAACTACTGCATGCCTTTAGCTGCTCCAGCACAAGGTTCACGTCATTCACATGGTAGTAGTTCAATGAGCCTGATCCATCTGTATCTATCCTGCAAATTTAAAGTGAACGACATCATTCAACCTATGAAGAGATATAGCAGTTCCTACAATCAACATATGAAAGAAGTCCCTAGAAATAGATGTTAAGAAACATTCCACACTGCATACATTGAGGGATTCTAAAGGGTAAAAATTTGCATCTAGATAACGAGCAAAAAAGGCTATTCACATGTTCAAACATAAAATTCAACTTAAATGAAGGGAATGATGCATAGTTTTACAGTTTTATCATGTCATGTGCATATTCTACTTAACCCTGCATATATTAGTTAATCCTCCAGCTAACTAAAATTGGGGTAATGTTTTAGAACCTAAAACCTTCAGCTACGGGATTTGGCATATAAGTTGTACCCCTCAGGTGAGACATTAAAAATTGCTAATATTTATAATCTTTATAGTGGCATATCCACAATATAGATTCCACTGAGATCATTCATTAGCCATTCTTAGACAAGAGAAGCAAAGAAAGAAACTTACACCAACAAGTAGCCACAACTGCTGTAGTATCTTCTGCCATGGGGATCAATCTCTATAAACTCTGCTCCTCGGATTTGCTTTTCAGGCTTCAATCCTGGTACACGCCGTTCAAATGCACATTCAGGGCAGTACCAGTCACCCTCAGGCAATAGCTGACTGGAAACACCGACACACTTAGAATGATAGGCAGCCGGACAGCCATCACAACACAGTAAGCTCCCATCCATTTTGCAAAGACAGCAGTCGTCACTGTTCCGGTCAAACGAGCCACCAATGACCTCATCATTTAAAGACAAATGATCTGCTAGCCCCATCATAGTTCGCTTTCTGCGTCGTACTTCTGTGTTCGACTTCCTATCAAGTTCCGTTACAGACTCAGCTGCAAAAGATCTTTTATTAAGCTCTGATCTCACAACTTCAGCATCTGTCATATCATTACACAAACGGTTAAGTATCTCAATTTTCAGATTCATGGGTTGTCTGAAATACTCATTTCTGAACAAATTCAACCGAGTAAGATCCATTCCAGGGTTGTCCTTAGACCCAGAAAATAGCAGGTATTCGATCACAAAAAGGGGATACGTAACCACATCCAACGTATCCCAATCAAGACTCCTGCATTTAACACACGACCAGCCAAGCATGAGAACCAAAACAAGAGAAACTTCATATCCATAAAACAACAATAAAACTAATGTGCGTATACTCAAGCAAGAAAATGATAAGCATACCTCAGGCAAGCAGACGCAGATAGGTCACCTTCAGCAGCGAGTTGTTTTAAATGTTTTCTTAATATTTGCAAGACAGAAACATGGATGCTATCAAATAATAGACTAGGAGACATGCACCTCACGGCTTCCACAAAATCCTTCAACTCAAAGGGGCTCAAAAACAGCAGAGTACTGAAGGACCTCAGACAAGAGTAAGCAGCAAAGACATCAAGTATGGAAAGCCCATCTAAATCCCATTTATGCGAGGATGGAGGTAATTGTGGCTTTGAAGGAAGCATAGAAATATTCTCAGCTTTTCCATCAACGATCCAAGTTTTTTCCTCTGTCAGACTACTAACTGACGGAGAAGGGGATACTTCATCAACTAAGCAAGCTGTTACAGTGCTACTGACAGGAGATCGAGCCAATGTTCTACGAGCACTTCTTCTCAACCGAGGTTGACTCGTGAATTTTGGATTCTCCAAGCCTTTTCTTCTTTTCCTCCTACCACTTGTATATACATCCGAAATTTCCCTATCAGAGGGATGCTCGTCAACAGTCTTAGCATCATGCTCAGGCAGATCATGATCCCTCTCAACCCCATTAGATTCAGGAGTATTGAGATCTTGCAGTGAAACACTATTCTGCTTCTGTAGCTCCTCCAAAAGCTGAGCTCTTGATACTTCAGCAACATGAACTTCTTTATATTCTCCAGTCTCAAGATGACCCTTGACACCATTTTCGTCCTGCATGTTGATTTCTTGAACTTCGACAGTTCCATTCACTTGAACGAATACATCCTCCTCCTTGATGTCTTCAGCGTTAACCTCCAAGTTCAAATCGAATCCTCCCTCCTTCTGTGCACTCAACGCACAGTCTCCAGCATTATCCCAATCACAGCTCGCATCAACGTTCAGATCAATCAATCCCCTCTTTCTCTCACTAGAGTTTTCCTCATAATCGATATCTACATTAACCAAACCTAAACTTTCATTCAAACTCCAATCCAACCCAGTATTCAAATCAAACCCAGTACTTGGTTCCGGCACATTCCTATTCAAATCCGTCACACACTCCCATTTCCTACTTAGGGTTTCCACAGGACCACAATTCAAATCAACATTCCCTCCCAATTCCAAACCTAAACAATCACTAGCCCCAGAATCCTCCGCAACAACATCATTTAAATCGACATTTCTCATGACATTTACCTCACTCTGCCATTTCACCGTCCCTCCGCTAGAGCTACCACGCTTGATCTCATCAATCCTCACGACCCGAGACCGTTTCCTTCCCCTCCTACCAACTCGCGGCTTCACTTGAGTCGACGTCTCCTGAGAATTCCCTTGTCCCATCACGAGAGCAGTAACCTCGTCCAATTTTGAAATCTCCGTAAGTCCATTCTCATAAACGATCTGGAAAAATCCAGACGAATCGTAAGATCGAACCGTCCCGGAGCAAAACCCAACCCCATCGATCTCCTTCCTGATGACTTTACCCACCAACTCCATTGCTCCAAGCTTGCCTTCGCTTCACGAAAACGACCGAATCTATAAACCAACGAAGCAAAGAAAACCCATACAACCCAAAAGTCTGAATTGCAAAAAAAAGGGGAAGAAATAAAAAAAGTGGCGCTTTGTTTTTCTCTTTATTCTAGAAACGCTTACAACGTGCAGGAGAGAGAGACAGAGATTCTCTCTCTTCTCTACAGAGAAAACGCTCAACGCAAATCTCTCTCTTTCTCTCTCACTAGGAAGAAGAAGAAGAAACAAAGACGGGTTGGTCAATGTTAGGAAGAGAAGGCCA